ATTCACACTCGGTCTGAGCCTTCATCATGCGCGCTGCCGTTCTCATCACCCTGGCCACCGGCGCCCTTGCCGCGCGCCCTTACCTCAACGAGCCCGATACTGGCATCGAGGAGGTCCTCGGTGATACCCCTCAAGGCACTCTCGCCAACATTTCCGGCCTTGTCGGTCTTCCCGACTTCGAGTGGGCCGCCAGGTGTTACCTTCCCATCGAGAACTACACCTACTACATGAATGGTGCCGGCGGGAAGTGGTCTGCGCGTAACAACCTTGAGGTCTACCACCGCTACAACTGGCGCGCTCGCCAGCTCGTCGACATCACTAATATCCCGGCGACGCTCCCGTATGTTTTCCTCTCTTGGGCGCCGCTTCGAGTCCCAGGTGTGGCGTGAGATTACTAACACCCGCGGCAGCACCACCATCCTGGGTTACAACTTCTCGACTCCCTTCTTCATCTCGCCTTGCGCGCGTGGTATCAATGGCCACCCTGAGGCTGAGCTGAACCTCGTCAAGGGTGCCGCCGCTGGCAACATCATGTACATGGTGAGTGTTTTCGCACCGAGGCCAGAAATCTCCCGATGGAAGCTAACCCGCCGCAGCCTTCTGCCTTCTCCAGCAAGTCTGCTGCTGAGATCAGCGCCGCCAAGGCCAAGGACCAGGTCCTCTTCCAACAGCTCTACCTCACTGCCAACCTGACCGCCGACACTGCCACCCTGCGCAGGTACGAGGCCGCCGGCGTCAACGTCTTCGTCCTGACCATCGACTCCTCCGCCGGCAGCAACAGGCAGCGCGCCGCGCGCTTCGGTGTCGGCTCCGCGAACACCCAGCTCACAAAGCTCACCGTGAGTTCACGTCCCCTTTCCCCCCCCCCCCCCCACATGCTGAATGACTCGGCGCTATGGATCTCTCGAGAGGAAGAACTTGTGTGACTGACTGGGACGAATATAGTGGGACTACTACGAGCAGCTCAAGAAGGTCACCAAGCTGCCCATCGCCGTCAAGGGCGTCACGAGCGTGGAGACGGCCCGCCAGGCCATCAAGCACAAGGTCCCCGCCATCCTCGTCTCCAACCACGGCGGCCGCTCCTTCGACGGCTCCCCCTCCTCCCTCGAGATCCTCCTCGAGCTCAACCAGAAGGCCCCCGAGGTCTTCAAGAAGACCGAGGTCTGGGCCGACGGCGGCGTCCGCTACGGCGGTGACATCCTCAAGCTCCTCGCGCTCGGCGCCAAGGCCGTTGGCGTCGGTCGCCCCTACATGTTCGCCAACATTTACGGCACCGAGGGTGTTGAGAAGGTCACCGAGCTTCTGAGGCGCGAGCTGATTGTCGATGCCGGCAACCTCGGCCTCCCCAGCCTCAAGGACATTGACTCGACCTACGTCAACTGGACCCCCAACCACTGGTACTCTTAGGTGCGGCGTGTTGGAAGCGCCCCCGCTGTTCGCATTTTTTCTATCATTTGTTTCCCATGTACATATTGGTCTGTGACCTTCGTGGATATACCTTGGTGTAGGCGTGGCGGCTAGCCTTTTTGGACAGCATTAGAAAAACTTTGACGGCCGAAGACAGAAGAATCATTCATCCAGAACCACCCCATGACGCGTGTGCTTTCTGCAAGATACTGGCGTGCCATCTGAGGTCAAAGGAGTGCCATTACAAGTGGACTCTGCGGCGGGGCTAAAGTTATCAGATGCAAACCTTGATCCGTACGACAGGTCCTTGGACGGAGATTACGGCACGAGAGATCCAACGGGGTACTCCGTGCACGTAACCGAGCGAGGGGCTCGATCCAGTGGATTGGCCCACGCTTCGTGGTAGTGGATGCCTTCAAGGGAAATTGATTCCGAACCAAGGACCAAAAGTGTCGCCGACGTCGAGCTCGCGTGGGCGGTCACACGAATCGTGGCCATCCCTTCCGACCCGAAGCTCACTGCTCCTGGGCATCCTCGTCTTCCGTGCCTGTGGGGGTCCATTCGACGTGAAGGTAGTCGGTGCTACTGTCGAAGTCGGCCTCAGTAAACTCTCCGAAGACGAGGTCGGCGTCCGACGGGATCTCGTCCTGTTCCATTCATCACCAGGTCAGTCACTTTTTTTTTTCTCGTGCGTCGAACAAAAGGCATGGATACCATGGTCATCGGCCTCGAGACTTACCCTTTTGTGCGGGAGGCCCCTGAACGATCCTGCCGACCAGTGTAGGTTACTACCCAGGCTGATGCACGTGTTTCTGAGAAACTGATCGCTTCCGCCCTGCACTCGGTCAGTACGATTGTCGAGACTTCACCGCGTGGTGTTGAAGTCTAAAAATAAACGTACATCCTGTCACAAAGCCATTAGCACACGTCTCATCGGGCGGCAGAACACGAAACAAGAAAACCTACAGCCCACCAACTGTTGCAGTTGTTGCACGCCCCTCCGGTGCAGAAGTACGCGCGTTGCGGCGTGGACCCGTACGTCTTGACCCTGAATGACCGGTAGCCGATCATCCAGGCCGCGCAGGTGTTGTCATAGACATTGACATTCTGCGACTGGCCGGTGCAGCGCTCGCCCGAAAAAACGTCGACGACAAAGGCCGAGGCCGTGCTTGCGAGGGCCATGAGGCCGAGCTGCTGGGTGAGCTGCATGTTGAGGTTCGAAAAGGTGCAAGTGACTTGTTGCGAGACTGAGAGTGCTGTGCTGGAGGAAGTGGAAGAGTGAGAGAACAGAAGTCAGGCCTCTTTATACAATACCCAGCCAGCCAAGACCTTTCTCAAGATATAGATGATGGACAAGATCTTTTCAACCAATGCTATCACCGTGTACGCTTCTGAACGCTGCAGCGCAGTTGGCGACACCAAAGTTCCCAGCACACAGATCTGTCAGCGGACAGAATAGCCAAAGAGTAGATTCTCGTCTTGAAGGTTGCTCAATATGGCAGGTCCCGAAGGAACTTTGGCACGCGTATCTCCGTGTAAGGTAGACGCCAAGCAATCTCGATTTCAATTCGCCATTGCTGGTTGGCGTGGGTCGTTTTTCTGACTCGTTGCTCTTCAAGTCTCCAAGCGCTTACACAACGTCCAGGGTCAGACACGATTGTCTGTCTTGGCTGCAACATCAAGTCGGTAGGCTTCCACACTCATAGGTGTTGTTGAGCGGGGGCTTGTGGCGGCTCTGCTGACCTTGCTGCATATCATACTTGGCAGTGCTGCATGCAAGGGACTTCGGTTGCTGACAGGTTGAACAATGGTTGTCAAGATGTTGTGAAACCCGATCGTACGTTGTGCATTTGGTGCAACTGGTAAGTCGTAGACGATAGGAGGGCATAGGGTATGTTCCGAATATCCCCCCTACCAGAAGACAACAAGACTTGGGTCGCGATACGCATCAATGTTCCAACACGGATCACACGCGAGAAAAGAGTTGTTGAAACAATGGATTTATTAGATTGTACTTGTGGGTATCATTCGGGCCTCTTTCGCGCAGCGTCTTCTCCGTCTCAGGCTCGTATCTCGTGATCATCAACACAATTGCTCCGCCCGCAAGAGCAGCAACGGCACCTGGTCCAAAAGTCAGTATCAAATAGGTACGAGGCAAGTAATGAGGGAACGGGATGCGATGGCAGTACAAGACCACTGATGCACCCAAGCTTGTCCAGATGAAACGTACTAATGGTGAACGCCCACCCAACGCCGATGGCCTCCATGATGGGCACCCTCGACGCAACCGTGCCAGCGGCAAAGGTGTACTGTACGATGTACTTGCTGCTGATCGCCTCCGTCTTCTTCGCCGGGAGCACCTCTGCTATCGTCAGCATCCATGACTAGATCATCGGGTCTCGCACTGTCATCCTATGCATGAGACTCACCAGCAGAGTACGTATTCAGGCCACTAAAAGAGGCCATCAACCCGAGTCCCGCAAGGAACGCTCCTATCCCCGGGGCGGCCCAACCGCCGACTTCTCTGCCCAGACTCCAGCCGAATAGCAGCGTGCCCAAAGGCAGCACGATGAAAATGGCGGGAAAGCTGCTTTTGAGTCGATCTCGCGGTAGGCGCAAGCCATTGCGCTTCTTGATGTACCGGCGCACTGTATGATCCGATAGCCTGCCTCCGATGGTGCTCCCGATCAGGAAGCCGGCACCAGGGGCCAGGTAAAACAGACCCGAGGTGAGCGGCGAAGCGGGGCCGAATCGAGTCGTCAAGGCAGAGCGTATAGAGCCGAGAAGGCCATACTGGTTGAACGAGAGCAGGCCGCAGGTGATGTTGGCAGCGAGAATGTTGATGTGCTCAAAGACGCGGAAGACGGGCATCGGCGAGAACTGGGCAAGGACGTGTTTTGACGTTTTAGGCTGTGCTTCACGAGGCGGATCAAGTGGCACATAGAACCAAGCCAAGACGAGACCGATAAGCGTCATGCCGGCCTGCACCCCGTAGATGACACGCCAGCTTGTGTACGTAGCGATGATACCACCAGTAAGTGGTGCGATGGTGTTGGCACTAACGCAAGTGCCAAGGAAGAACCCTACAGCCGTGCCGCGGACGGTCTTTTCGGTCAGTATTTTCTGCTCTCCTTCTTCTCCTCACACGTGAGGATAAATCAACTGAGCCGCCTTGGACACGTACAGGCTCGAAAATATCAGACAGAATCGTCTGTCCAGAGACCAGAAACACCACACCCGTAGATCCACCAACGACCCAGATGGCTGTGAAGCCTGCCAAGTTCGGCGCCAGAGCCGAACCTACTGAGCAAGCGCACAGAATGACGGCTGCCGCGAGATACGCCGGCCTCCGACCCACCAGCCGGCCTATGGGCACCCACATCAACGGCGAGCAGGCCATGGCGAGGAAAACACCCGCGTTGGCGATGCTGATGGCCGTGACAGGAACATTGAATTTCGCGCGCTAGTTCGGGTGCAACTGCGAGAACAGACGAGGTCGAGAACGTCATTGGTATGGGCAGCCAACAGATGGTGAACAGGGTCACCCATCGTCGCCAGACAGCCATGGGCATGACGGCATCGTCGATAGCGGCAAGGTGCCGGGAGGGCGCCGCCACTGGGATATCGGAGGCCATGGGCTCCAACGGGGCCGACATCAACAGCGCCGGTGGGTCGGGGAGCTTTCGGGAGTCGACGGAGTCCATTTTGGGCGATGCGTCTCGGCGTGCCAAGAATTGTTAGGAGAATACCGAGCAGATGATCGAGTGAGGCTCAGCCGGGCCATGGTGTAATGGTTATATCGCGAGGAATCCCCATGCAGCGGACGAAAGACGGCGAGATCAGCCATCTTAGCCGTGTCCAAGTGAGTCAAGAGTAGGCGAATAGTGGATATCGTCATGGCGGCGAAGCGCGTCGCGCAGCAGAATCTGCACCATGTCGGTCACTCGGAAGAGATGCCGATGGAGGCCGGACCTCGAGTAGCCGACTCGGTAATAAGGACCATCTCGAAAGGATTAGGGCGCTTTTCGCCCCCTTCTCGCAAGCTTGGAATTTTTGCCCAGTGCTGACTCATCTCGGCAACATGGTTCGTTTGGCCGACGACATCGGAGCACTTCTCTCAGTGCTGTTCAGAGTTGACTAGACAATTGGCCTGTCTCGACTGTGCCCGAGGATACGATGTCGCAGCAGCGGCGACGATGACTCCTTGGGGGTCAGCGATCTGTCTGTGAATGTCAATGAATGCTGTCGCCTGTGCATTCTCTTTCCTCTCTCTCTCTCTCTCTCTCTCTCATCTTGCCTCTTACTCACAAGGCCGTTGAAAGCCCTCCGAATGCACCCCCAATTGCCCTCGTCGAGCGCCCGCCCGGCCGTCCATCGTGAACCGGCCCCGATACCATGAACTCCATCTCCGTCACCCCGGACCGAGCGTCAGGGGCGCTCAACACCCCCGACTCAGACCCTACACCAGCGTCACCCGGCCGTCGGCCCAAGATCAAGTCGACCGCCTGCAACCGCTGCCATGCCCGCAAGGTTAAGTGCTCCGGCGGCCGACCTTGCGAGAACTGTCGTCAGGCGAGCAAGGCCGTCGACTGTAGTTATCCCCGGCGCAATCGACAGGTCAAGGTCAGCCAGCGGCAAGTCCACCCCCCTCTCCGCCCGTTCCGTTCCGACCCGGTCCCTCCACGTGTCCCAAGCCCCTGGCTCATCAAAGGCCCCTCCCCCGGCTGACCCCGTTCAGGTACATAGACGATCTCATCGAGGAAAACAAGCGGCTCAAGGGCCTGCTCGATGACACGACGAACCCCAATGCCAGCTCGCTCTCGGCGCTTTCGGTCAGCACGGCCCCGTCGCCACGCCGGGACCTGGACGTGCTTGACAGCCCCGATGTGGCGCGCAACAACACGAGCAACATCATGCTCGAGGTTCGGCCCTGGTTCGTCCCATCGACCGACCAGCAGACCCCCATTCTCATCGGCGAGGTGCCGGATGCCTCGTTTTCGACTCGCTTTCGGCAGGCCATCTCGGCGCCGCATGAGCAGCCGTATAAGCACATTCCTCGGACGGCCTTCGCCACCGACGAGCGCATTGCTTGCCTGACCGAGTCTGAATGCGCGTGGCCGAGTCCTTCGCGCGCACGATTTCTCGTTGAGGTCGCCCTGCGCTACGTCAGCCGATGTTACCACATTGTGCGACGCAGTGTGGTAATGGATGCACTCGAGCACAGCATCCACAATCCGGCCTGGGGTGAGTCGCTCATTCGGTGTAAGCTCTGGGGTCTGTTCGCCATTGGCGAGTTGTATTCGGCGCGATCGATCGCGCCGGGCAAAGACTTTCCTGGGTTGCCGTACTTTGCGAAAAGCGAGCCGCATGTTGAGTGTTCTGAGCGAGCGACCGACGATTGATGCGATTGAGATTATCCATCTCCTGGTGCGTGTCCCTGCTGCCGTGATGCCATTCGAGGCCGTGAAGTCGTGACGCTAATAGGGCAAGTCGTTCTACTCCCTTCGCCCTCAACAGGCGATACACCTCCTACATCCTGGCGGGGCATGGCCGTGGGCATGGCGGTCCTCATCGGGGCTGCACCTCAACATCCCGGCCGCACAACTTACCGGATGCCGCGGTCCGTGAGCAACGCAACCGGCTCTGGGCGACGACTTGCATTTTCGATCGCATGTGGGCTTCCAAGCTGGGCCAGCCCGGCAGCCCATCGGGCGACCGCGACATCATGGTCGATCCTCCCTCGAACGCCAGCGTCGACGCTGCTGTCGCTGGCGACTTTGGTGACTGCGCGTATTACATTGCCAGCTCGCGTCTCGCCAGCATCACCAGCACCATGGTTCGGTGCATCTACAACACGCGGGATCAGAGCACCACGCTCTCGAGCCGCGTGCAGCAGACGCTCAAGGACCTTCGTGAGTGGGTGCAAGAGCTGCCGAGCCACCTTCATCTCGATGCGGCGCCGCACAGCGAGGCGGCGTACAAGCCAACGCCTCTTCATCTGTCGTTCAACCAGTCGGCGATCCTGGCGACGAGGCCCATCCTACTGCATGTACTGAAGACGCACGCTGCCGCATGGCCGGCGCCGGCTGGCGCGATGCCCGTGCCGGCGTCGGCCATGACGATCGTGGCTGCTTGCGTACGATGCGCTCGCCACTCTCTGCATCTGTTGACAGAGTGCTGGATCGACGGCTCGTTCGCGACGTTTGACTACTTCTACACTTCGTATCTCTTCTCGGCGTTGACAGTGCTCGCCGTGTCGAGCCTTCTCGACGGGCCCGACGCTGCCGCCGATCGAGAGCAGTTTGATTCGGCGTCTGGGTTGCTGGCGCAGCTAGCGGATGGTGGCAACTTTGCAGCGAAAGAGGACATGAAGCACGTGGATGCCATGAAGGCGGCCGTCACGGCGGCTGCATCGAAGAAGAGAGGCGTCGTGGGTCTCGAGGCCACAACGGGCCTCGGTGATTTCGCCAGCGTCATGTCGCCCGCGGCGTGGGCGTCCTCGACGACGACGACGACGGCGGTCCAGGGTATGGCGACGGCCGGCATGGCACTGACGGAGCCCTCACTGCAGGAGCTGCTGGCCGAGCCGTTCCTCGACATGCAGTTCATTGACGCGTCGGTGTATGACGATTATTCGCAGGGGCTCTACTGGCCCGACTTTAGCACCGAGAACTGGACGCCGGAGACCTGGGTTCCCGGCAGTTGACTTGGCCGTTGACGGTATGGCTGCCTGAGTGAGCGAGGATAGAGGCATCGTCGGCTGCCTGAGTGAGCGACAATAGAGGCATGGTCGGCTGCCTCAGTGGGCGAGGATAGAGGCATGGTCGGCTGCCCGAGTGAGTGAGGATAGAGGCATGGGGACGTGGCGTCGGAGGTGCTGTGTGTGTGTGTGTGTGTGTGTGTTGGTGCTCCACTCGTGATGATGGAGGCTTCGAGAGGCTTCAGATGGAATGTCTGTTTCTGTTCATGAATTTCAGCGTTTCTTTGAGAAACATGATGATTTTTTGCTGTCGTTGTTCTGGTCCTGGGCCACGAAGATCATGGGAAGGAGGAGGAAGGAGGAGTGGTTGGTATGTAGGTAACCGTGTTCGTGCTTCTATACAACTATACCATACATTAATTGTCATGTAACCAGATCATGCAAATGTCGGTGTCGACCCCGCGATGCCCCGCCATCCACCACCGTGTACGGCATTCGGCATTCGTGCTTCGAGCCTTTTGTCCATCTCGAGCTTCCTGCGTCATCACGAGCCAAATCCTCAAGATGCCCAGTACGTTCGTTCTTCGGCCACATAGCTCATCGAGTCAGCCCTAACAGCACTGCCAAGTCTCCTACAGCACCGGCGAGAAGCGGTCTTTCGGCTGGGTCACCGCGCGCGAGCTCGTGGCCTGTCATCATCGTGCGCCATGAACCCCCCCCCCCATCCCACGATTGCCCCTGCTCCTCTTGGCTGAAGTGCGGCCTTAGACGCAAGCCATCGACGACCTCTACCGTTCCGTCTCCGCCAGCGAAGAAGGCGAGAAGAAGACCGAGGGCAAGGCAGTCACCGAGAAGATTGCCCGCCTGAAGTATGAGGTTCAGCACGACCGTCCTCTGACGCCGATTGACGACGACGGCCAACCCGACGTCAAGCTCTACAACGATGAGCTCGCCAGTCTCGGCGAGCCCACCTGGCTGAATACGCCTTGGCTCTTCTGCGAGTGCTATCTCTTCCGGTGAGTTTTTTTCTTTTTTTTTTTTTATTCTTTTTTTGTTCTTTTTTTTTTCCTATTGTCTTCATCACTTGCTGCTGGACCACGACCCGAGGGCAACGTTGACAGGTGCCTTCGCAACAGTCGCATCAGCACCTACTTTAAGCTCTCGACGCACTGGAAGAACTACGATGTCTTTGCCCGCCAGAAGATCAACACATTCCGATCGTCCCGCCCCGCTGTCCTCGAGCTCGCCGCCCGCTTCAAGGAGCTCGTGCAGCAGCTCGAAGCCAACGGCAGCGCCACCCAAGACGAGGCGGCCGAGAAGCTCCTCTTCGCCGAGATGTGCGAGATCTGCCTCTGGGGCAACGCCACCGACCTCTCGCTGCTGACGAGCCTGACGTACGAGGATATCCAGAAGCTGCAGGGCAGCGAGGCGCGCAAGGCGTCGGAGAAGCACATTCTCGCCAACGACCTGCCGGCCGCGTACGCCGTGCTGAAGAAGGCCGTGGCCGAGGGCAAGACGGAGCGCCGCGTCGACATTGTGCTCGACAACGCAGGCTTTGAGCTCTACGTCGACCTCATCCTCGCGGGCTACCTCTTGTCGGCGGGCCTCGCGACGCACATTGTGCTGCACCCCAAGTCGATCCCGTGTTCGTGTCGGACGTGCTGCCGGGCGACTTTGCGGCGCTCCTCGGGGCCATTGCCAGCCCGAAGCGCTTCTAC